CCTCTACGTATCCTTTTCTTTAGAAGCGTTCTCCCCATTCGCATTCACTGCGTTCTCCATCAAATGGAAGGACCATGACAGAACTTTCAGCGTGCACAACTCCTACTCCCATACTCAAAACCGATCGCGACCAGATCACGGCGAAAAACAGCTAAGCTGCTTACAAGAAGCTCAACCCTGTTTCATCATGGTAGATTATCATTGCGTCTCGCATTCTGATAATAATACAGAAACCTCGATACACGAAAATAACAGTACCCGAAGACTTTCGAAGTTCTGTCTCTGATTCATGTAGATTTCACCCACTGGCTCCACCTGCATACCTCTGAGACGGCATCTACCCTCCACACGCTGCACATAGTCCCTTAAATGTTATTGATTTAAAAAAAATGTTTAAATAGAGGTTCCATCCAACATTGAATGTATGCAACTGACTTTATCTGTAAACGGCGAGCGTCATTCTGCGTCAACGTCGCACAAACAGCCCAGTTCGTCAGCTGAGCTGGTTCCAGGAACTTTGAGCGATCTCCATTCCACTTGCACTAAACGAATGAATATGTATGTTCTTTCCATCTACTGGTGAATAGCTGGCATCACCCACGTTGTCCGTCGGCTTTAATGTCTGCGACCCTCCGTAAACGATGGTTGGTGTCGGTAAAACACGAGCAGTCACCTGAACCAAAGGTAGATAGCATTCCAAATCTCCTTAACCCATGGAGATCAAATACGTACCGTTGTGAAATTATTCGCAACACTGATGCCTGCACTAGCGAGGTTTGGATTACGTGGAGTGATGTCCAAGGCGTCCTTCATTTTCCTGGTTTGATGCAAACGGTTATCGGGGAGCGTCGCCGATGCCTGAAACGGGTAACGATCTCAGCTGAAACGGCTTCACAAAAAAGGATTTTGTTTGAGCTACCTTGATCATGGTGGCAACTTGATCGGGCGTCTGCTGCTGAAGTGTGACTCGCTGTGAAGGTGCAACTGTGAGCAGTTCAACAGGGTAGTAATTATGCGGATTGTGCCGCTCCGATACCGTAAAAATTCCTGGGCACCTAGGATTGTAATGAACATTCCTACACTGTTTACGCAGGCGCTTTCATTCCATTTTCATTGGACACAACGGACAACAAAAGTACATAAAACGCACTTCAATTGGATGTTGTAGTGCTTTTTGAAGTACTGCTCAACGGTGCATTGTCCGCCATCAGTGGTCTGGAACCTGCAAGATATTTTTATGCAGGGACTCCCAACTGGTATACCGGCACTAACATAGTTGTAGGGGAAAACGAGAACAGGCCTGTCTCATGCACTTCGCTTGGAACCAAAGCGAGTGGCCAAGAGAGTCTCGCGAAGAAGACATATGTCCAACAAGTCCTTCGTTTGGGGAGGGGACACAGCTGCTGAGTGTCCCCTCTCCCCTTTCAACTACGTTGATATCGTATCCCCTTGCATGTGACAAGGCACCCATACACAACTCACTTCAATGTATTGGCAGCAGCAGCAATGTTTCCAATCGGAAAAGTCCGCTGCTTCTTTCCATACGTTGTTCTGACATATAGACCTTAAAAACTTGTGTGTATTTCAAGTGATTGTGGGCATCTGACAGCCACTTCGCGCTGCGACGTTCGGTTGAGCGTTTGAGAAAGGAGAAGGAAGCGCGGATGGAGAAGAATGCTTGGCGGATCATACAAAATCCGATCGCAAGAAAGCAACTTAAC